TTTTCACCTGCGTTCGTTCATTTCGTTTCTGTTTTGTTGTTTGTTGTTTGCTTAATGACTTTCAGTTTTCAATTGATCAGCAAATGTGATATTATGTATCACTGCAAGCCAGCTCCTCCTCCCCAACTGCTTCCCTCAGAGCAACCAATCTCCTTTTGGCCAAGTTAACAAATGCCCCTCTGCATTACTGTTAATCTGTGCGTCTATCTCGTTTGGCATATGGTGGCTATAATTTCATGCGATCAACAGGTTTTGCAAATTTCCTTTTTTCTTTATATTTCTTAATGTTGGTTTCTTGTCGCTGCTGTTGTTGCAGTCGTCGTCGTTGTTATTGTTGTGGGGCATTGGAAAAACCTGAGACGCAGACGTGGCGGCAACGTGTTAATCCATGTCGACGTTTGACGTTTGCCAAAAACAACAACAAACTGTGGCAACGCGGAAGAAAAGGGGCCTGAGGGAGTGATGCGGGGGAGATGCGGGTTGGGAGTGTGACTATAAAGCCTGATTGGAACTGAGACAAACGTTGCGTCGTCGCCGACAAACGACGTCCCCACCACAAACACACACACACACTTGAGGAAAAAGTGAATTTTTTCATAGAAAGTTGCTGGGCAACATTTAGCGACGAGGAAGACGGGAGGAGGTCGAGGTGGCAGCTTCTGTAGCCAATACTTGAAAATAGAAAATGCAACAACAACAACAACAACGATAACAACAACAACAGCAACAGCAATGTGTTTTGCGTCTCTCTTTCGAGTTCCGAATTCTGTTTTTATGTTGTTTTTGTTTTTTGCAAGTTGTTTCACTTTCTAGGCTTCCATCCTTTCTTTGGCTCGCACTGCAGTCGCAAAACTAGCCGCAAACAGCGCATTGAACTTTCTTTGTACCGACAGGTGGCGCTGCCAGCGTCGTTTAACCCATAAACCAAATCGAACCATAAACAACAAGAATTAAACAACGGTAACGAAAATGACAGCTGCACTTTGCCTAAAAACAAAAGCAACAGCAACAAAAAATGAAAGAAAAACAAAAACTGTGCCACGGCGACGCGTCGCTAATGACGCCATCGGCAAACGTCGCGACGTTTACGATCTCGCTCTCCTTCTCTCCCACTCTTTTTCTGTGTGTGCGTCTCCCTCGCTCTCGCTCTAGCAAGCTTTCTTGCTCTCATCTCCTTTAACGCGCATTTGGCTGGGTTTCGAACGAGCTTAGAAGAAGCGAAAGATCAGAATAAATGAGTGCTCACTAAGCGATACCCTGTAGAGAGAAGGAGAGAGAGAGAGAGTCATGCAGAGGCATATGCACACAGTGTGGCCCGGAGAGGCAGCTGCCACGCCCTAAATTTCAACTTTACAGCGATAAAAAGTGTTTAAGATTACAATTTTTGAACAAACTGCAAGAGACGAAACTATTCACTGTAATACAATAAATAAAGTAATGAAAACATCTTACCCAGATTCTAGATTTTACCTTATAAATAAAAATACCTTGTGTATGATGAAAACCAACTACCCATTGATAAACATTAATTGCAGGGTATGCGGAGAAATGCCAAATGGCCTAAAAGCTATTTAGCTGAGCGGTGCGTGGCCCAAGAACCGTACCAAGACGTTAGTCCACTTAGCCAAAAGCCAAAAAAAAAAAAAAAAAAAAAAATATAAAAAAAAACAAAATCGAAGACGTGTTAACCAAGACGGTCAAGTGACATGCAAAGCGAAAGCGGCCAACAAACTTAAAACAACAACGCAACAACGCAGGCAGACAGGCAACAAACATGACAGAAATGATGTCAAGCCAGCGGGCATGAAGCAGCAGCAACAACAACAACAACTGGTCTCTGCAGCAGGGGGCAATGGCCAAACCCAGTTGAGACCTCTCCCTCTCTTTGTGTGTGTGTTGTGTGGGTGTTCAAAGGCAAGGCTAAGCGGCACAAAGTGCCGAAAGGCTGTTAGAATGTCACAATGACCTTGACACACCAACCGGGCACACACACACACAACTCGCACACTCACAACGAAACACACCTTCCTTCCGCTGCGGGCGCAAAAAAGAATAACAATAAAACAGCAAAAAAAAAAACAAAAAAAAAACCTTAAAACCATAAAGAAACGAACGATATGCGGTAAATATGGCAATAAGAGCTTTTGCCATTTGCCACTTGCCACTTGCCGCGAGAGACTGCCTTGAAGCCTTTATGTCACGACTCGACTTCATCGATGGGAAGCACCCACAACAACAAGCACTTTTGCCAGCCAGGCAACAAAAATGTTCAAATGAGTTTCGATCTTTTGGCAAGGAAAATGTTCTTGACGCTTTCAGCTTTGCTAACTGAAAATATTTGTTCAATTTGTAAGTCCGAATTCTTAATTAGCCTTATCAAGTGAATAATAATAATAATTTATTTAATAATAATAATTTATAATTAATCGAATATATATCTCAATTTCCATTTAGCCCTCAAGCAATTATACAATTTGTAATAAAAACTCAAAGAATTTTGATTCTGAGAACAAAGAAATGCATTAGCTAAATATTTTCGTATTTTGGGTTTTATTTTGAGAAGCACTCAATTAGATATCGCAATAAAATTTTAATTGGTGTCACAAGTCTTTAATTTTTGGCAGCTTAAATACTATCTATAGCTATAGCTATAACTATAGATATATTTAGGGGTAATAAACAAATTTTGGGTAAAAATGTATGAGAAATGCATTAGAAAAGCATTAAAAGTAAATGCAAGGTTAGCTCATAAACAAATTTATTTCTTTTCGTCGCCTGCACGTGTTGTCGTCGCTGATTTGTGTGTGTGTGTGTGAATGTGTGTGTGTGTGTGTGTAAAACAAGCAACCCCTCGAACTACAACAAAAACAACAAGAACAGCAACAGCGACAGCAAAAAAGTGAAGCGGATGAGCGACAGGTAAAAATGCTAATAGTAGATAACGGAAAACGGAAAACGGCAAACAACAACAACAACAACAGGAACAACAGCAAACAGTGACAGCCTGCCCAAAGTTGTTAGTTGTCTGCTGTTTGTTGTTGTTTTCGTTGTGGTTGTTGTTGCTGAGAGACAGCCCTGCTGAGTTTTCCCAGGCCAAGCGGCATTGCTTGCATTTGCACAGGTGCTCAAAGAGAGGGCAACGGAAGAGAGAGACAGACAGGCAGAGAGAGCGAGCGAGAGAGAGAGAGAGAGAGAGAAAGAGAGTCAAACAGCATCCGCAATATCTGAGCGAGCGTTGCCACCCTTAAAAACAAATACACACACACACGCACACACACACACACATGGGGACACAAATAAAGTAGCAGTCAAATCATGATTAAAGTTTTGTTTTGCAGTTATTTAACAAGTTTATATCTTTGTTGACCTCCACGGAATTGCCGTTACTTTAAGCTGCTTTTTCTCGATTCTTCTCCCTAATTCCCCCTCTCTTTTGTTTCATAAGTTCTTTTTGGCATGTCTAATTCTCACTCTCTTTAACTCTCCCTCTCATTTTCTTCTCTCTCTCTCTCTCTCTCTCTCTCTCGATGCATTCTTTCTTCTTCCTGTTTCACTGATAACATTGGAATTGCCTCGAGTATTGCATAATCATTGAAGTACTTTTGAAATTTGGTGACTTAGCTCAAAAACGTGGAATGAAATTGGCATTTCTGGTTGCCGGGCTTACGGGATGGGTCTATATATATATATATATATATATAATCGACATAATAGTAGTGCACACATATCTTCTGGGAAATATTACAAACAAATACTTAAAATATAGTTAAGATATGAACATTATATTTAAACACAAGCAATCAATATTGAAGACAATCATTTTTATATTTATTTATATTGCTTTTTTTTTTATTAAAATAATGTTCAAATTGATTATAGATTTTTATATTTTAGTACGTTTAGTATTTGGATAATAATCGTATTTGGAAACATTCCCAGATGAGAATAAAATCTTCGTTTATATTGAAGATTTTGAAGAGGTTTCGATTGTATGACCATAAAATGAGTTATATCTTTATTAAATGCTTTAAGATGCAGCGCAACATTTTTTTTGACCTCAACTGAAGCCTCTTAAAAATCAGTGGCCTAAAATGGTTGCTTCAATAATTATTTCATCATTTTGTGGAGCTTAACAATACGAATTGAAACAGGCGGAATTTGTCTGAGGTCAATTCTAGTTTCCGTTACTAATTTGTAAATTCTTAACTTCAATTTATATCAAATCTTTACTCTCTCTCTTTCTTTCTCCTTCTTGCTATCTCACTCTGTTAAAGGTATCTTTGATATTGTTTGTTGTGATTGTTGTTTTGCTTTTCGGCCATCAAATTGGAGCGTACATCCGCTTTCAGCCTGGTCAACTGCTGTTAACGCTGGCAGGTGTTGATGTGTGTGTGTCTGTGTGTGTTGAGATAGCGATTTACTCTTTATTGTATGCAATTACGTGAACTTATTAACTTTCTCCCAAACCAGTGGATCACCAATGTGACAAATAGAAAAAAGAAGAGAAAATACAAAAAAAAACATCAAACTTTTGAATGTGCTAAGTCATTATTTTGTCAAAAGAATCTAAAATATCAAAATCAATATATATGTTTTTTCTACTATATGACCAGGTAGCACCAGGTAGTTGTTATAGTTATGAGCAGAAAGCCAAACAGTTGAGATTTTTCAAGTTGTAAAAGATTTTGGCTGCTATTTTTCAATCCGATATCGAAGTTTGTATCTCGATAAAATATGATCCACATATTTAACTCCAAAGCGTAGATTGTTAAACTTAATCTGTATCTGTATCTGTATAACACGCAAATATTTGTGCAACATTCGAATTTTACAATGTTGAATGTGGCATATTCATCAGATTGCAATCGTATTATGCACAAATTGAGAATCCATTTTGGCAATGATCCCCTAATGCGTAAGGGTGCTGTGGGTGCTATTGGATGGGGGAAGGGGTAAGGGGGAGGGGAGGGGTTGTTGGGGTTATAATAGTATACGCTTACCACACACATCCAGCCAGCCCTCGACGCGACTAGGGTAGGAAATTGCATAGGCTCGATTCAGATACGTGCGACGTCCCATTTTTGTTGCTGGGTGGTTTTCTATTTTGCAATTTTGTGATTTTTTTGTTTTTTTTTTTTGTTTGGGATGCTGTTCCGGCACTCTCTCTCCCTTGCGCTCTTCTCTCTCTCTCTTTGCCGCTGTCTCTCTCGGTCTGTTTTGCGGGTCGTTATCTTTCGGCTTATCGACAAGTTGTCGAATAGCGGCTGCTGCCGCTGCTGCTGCTGCTGCTGTTGATTTTTGTTGTTGTCTGCTTAATTTGAATATTGATTTTGTTGTCGCTGGCTTTTGTTGCTATTCTTCTTTTTTTATTGCACTTGTCTTCGCCATATACACACACATATATACATATATATATATATTTATATATATGCAAACAAATTAAAATCAACGTTTCGTCGAGTTTCAGTTTTAAATTTCCATTTCTTGTTGTTGTTGGTGTTGTTTACAGCCTTTCGATTAAATGCTCAACCAACAAAAGCAACAACAACACAAAACAAAAGCGCGTTTCAAGAGCACAAGAAAATAATAAAAAAAAAATCATTTATAATCACGATTTTTGTTATATTTGTTTTGCTGTTTTTGTTGTTGTTGCTGTTATTTTTTTTTTGTCGGTTTCTTTACGCACACGGTTCAAGCTTGAATGCTTGCTGTCACTCTACCGCGCGCGCTCTCTTCTCTCCCTCTATTTTTGAAGTGTGTCCGTGTGTGTGATTATTATTTGAGCTATTTTAGCCTTTGCCTTTAACAGCTGAGTGCTCAACGATTTGAGAGAGAGAGAGAGAGATTGAGAATGAGAGGGGATGCTCGCTTCTCCAACTCCCTCCGCGCCTCTTATTGTTATTACTGTTGTTTCTCCACACACACACATACATTCGTATGGATATTGTTAATATTCTGCGTCGAAGGCCGGTCAGCGCATATTGAAGTTTTATTTATTGTTGCCGCTGCTGCTGCTGCTGTCGTTGTTGTTGTTATTGTTGCTCTTGTCGCGCCAACGAAACCAGAAACTTTTTTAGCAGTCACAGACACCGCTGCTGCTCTCACACACACACACACACAGGCATGTGCATACAAGTGCATATATCCATGCGCTTCAGTGTGTATTATTTTTAAAAATACAAAATCCAGCAACAACAAAACTGAAACAACACACGCACTGCCAACAAATACAAAAGACACACAAAAAATAGCACACACTTTTATTCAGTATGAAACAAAAAAAAAAAAAAACGTCACGAGATTTTTTCAAAATGCACCTCAATAGCGCGCGACGTCGGCAAATGCAACAACAAACATTTGAAGAATCAAAAAAAAAAAATCTAACTGTTTCGCTGCGTGCGCATAGAGACGCGCGTCGTGCCAACCGCGCAGCAACAAACATTAACTAACTATTAAACAGTGTGACCAACAGCTGCCAAAGTCGAAATACGCCAAATGCAAGAGCGATGAAAACGACAAAAAATACCGTTTAAGTACCAGCATCGCGGCACTTTCAGGCAGCAGCGAAAAGTATGCTGTGAACATTTTTAACTGATAGTAGACGACTTCAAAATAATTTAATTGATATTGCAAGATTTTGTGGATCAAACATTTTTGTTGCCTACTTTCAGGGATGCTGCTGAGAGAGGCACGCGCGCAATTTAAATGAAAACAATAATTTACTTGTTGAACGGTTTACATGAGTTTTAATAGTGCACATAATTAGTAGGTAGTTATTAGTATGTAATCAAATAAACATAAAATTAATAACATTATTTATAAGTAAGTAGTTCTTGAACTTGTTTTGTTGTTGCTGTTGTTGTTGTTACATTATTCGCTTTGCATTGATTTGTTGTGCAAATTTGCGTAAATAAATTACAATTACATCTACAACAGACAGCAACGCAAGAGCACAACAAATATTTTCTACTATATTTTATATAAATATGTATGTGTATGTGTCGATGTACATACATATGAGAAATAGTACATATACATATATATATATATATATTTATATTTATATATATATATATATATCTATGTTTATGTAGGTATACGCATATTTTTGTTCAGTCTTTGATTTTAAGCTTAACGGGTTAAAGAGAGAGGGAGATAAAAAAAAAAATTGTATACATATATATTATGTATGTATGTATGTGTGTGTATGTATGTATGTATTGTATGTGTGTATGCGTTTGCAGGTAAGCTAAGTTTGGGAATTGGGTTAATTATAATGATTTATCATTTTTGTTTTCATTCGTTTTGTTTTAACACATTTTCTGTGGAATGTGCTAGGAAATGTCCTTGACGGGGCACAGCCCCAATGGAACGCTTCAGTATCATCGTTAGCTATATGGATTACAGATTACATGTATGCATATATATATATATATATATATATATATATATATATATATATATATGTGCAGATTTTTATCATGCTTTGCCATTGCTTTTTCACATTTTGCTGGCCGCTGGCTGCTGCTGCTCCTCCTGGCTGCCGCATGATGATGCTGGCGCTGGTGATACCGACCCAGATCCAGATCCAGATCCAGACCCAGAACCAGATCCAGTACCGGAACCAGTGCCAGATGCCGACTCAGTTTCGATGGCCGCCTGCAGCTCGACGAATATGTCAATGAGATTGTTGATGCCAATCAAATAGCCATCCTCATGATTGCCCACCTTCCACGCCGCATAATGATCGATATGCATCTGTGCCGGCAGCGCCACCGTTTTGGCAAAATCAATAAGCCAAACGCTGGCGTGCGTCTGATCGTGGACGAACAGCAACGAGCTCCCAATCACCTCGTGCGTCTGGAAGAACTCCGATACGGCCAGGGTGGCGCGTATGGCCCGCAAGCGTTGAATATAACGTGGCTGTAAAATGATGTGTAACATTAGCCACATTTATCCAATATCCAATATCGGGCACAACAACAATGAACTAAGAGCGCTCTCGAGTCGAGATATGTCAATCATACTTCATTCTTCTTCAATCACCGTTCATTATTCATCAATCAAGTCCCAAATTGTGTACTTATAACAAGCAAAATAGAATTTCCATATGATTAATTGTACTCTCAATGGATTCAATATCTAATTGTAAGCAGATGCCTTTCTCAAAACATAATCAACCCTTTCGCTCTTTGAATCCGTACTTAAATTGATGCTTTGACAATATTTAATCAATTTACTGAGAACCGTTTCGATGTGTCCTTGGAATTCTTCTTTCAAAGAGTCAAACTCGCACAGTTTATATTTTTTTTTGGTCTTAACTTACCAGAATATGTGGATGGCCGCTGAGGAACTCGGAAAAAGCCAATTTGATTTGTTCGCGTGACTTGGTCGTTTTAAAATCTTTGGAACTGGTGCCATCGCTCTTCTTGATGCCCTGCAAAGCAAGAGAGTTGAGTGATGAGTAAGTGGGCAAGATGAAGGGGGGGGCAGAGGCACTCACCTCAATGCGAAAGCCCAGCGTGGCGGTGCTGGAGATGGTCTCGCGCCAGACCATGTAGCGTGGCTTGGTCACCGCCTTGGCGGCATGCTCCTCGGCATTGGGGGCCATTGCATCGATCTGTATCATCTTGTCGTACATATCTTTGCGCAGCTTCGGCTTCTCCTTGGCCTTGGAGAGCTCCTCCTCCAGATAGGTGCGCACGCCCACCTTGCAGTCCATAACGCACGGCTGCACGTAGTCGCTCAACAGATCCTGCAGCTGCAAATAGACTGCAAAATGCCGGGCAGTTAGAATATATATTTGCATACCTCCCGACATGATTTTGTAATAATCAGTCAATCATAATTGATAGACAATTAACCAGTAAGTCAGTAATCTATGAGTAAGTCGATCATTTAGTTAGCAAAGAGTTAGTCAATCATTCAGTCAGTTAGTCAATTAGTTAATCATTCAGTCAGTTAATCATTCAGTCAGTTACTCATTCAGTCAATTTGTTTATCCATCTATCAATTACTCAGATTAACAATTAACCAGTAAGTTAATATGTCATTAAGTTAACTATTCAGTTAGCAAATAGTAAATTATTTAGTCTGTCAATCAGTCAATTAGTCGAGTAAGTTAATCAGCTAAGAGGTCAATCAGTCGTTGAGTGTATACATAATTAGATAGTCAGAACTTACGTTCGCCATCCTCGCTAGTCACCTGACCCTTGTAGACGGGGACATACGGTCGCAGCACATCCTGCATCAGCACCTGAAAGCACTCCTCCTCCTTGGGGCAGAGTTTCTTGAGGACGGTGCCCGGCTCGGGACCGGCCTTGAAGTTGCCCTGATGACCGGCTAGCTGCACCCATGGATACCGCTGCTTCTTGTACGTTTGAAAGAAGGGCGTCCATTGCACAATGTTTCGTATCTTTCGCCAGCCGGAGCTCTAACAAAGACAAACAGACAGAAAAGGATATTGATATAATTGAAATGTGAGCATATCGTGACTTAGCGCCATCTATCGCTTGGCGTAATTGTTCATTAGATGGCGCCACTTAAATCATACGTTTCATTGAAAAGCGACAATGATTAAGCAACTCTTGTGTAAGCCACAGATAATTGCTGAATAGTACTAGACAAGCATCGGATAATGCCAAACAACAGCCAGATAAATATAAAAGCGGTCTAATAACGGCAATGACAGAGCAGCCATTCGGTTCGCGTGGGTTAGTCCACATCAGATAAGTGCTGATGTCGCCGTGTTGTGGCTGAATTCGGGGTCAATGATGCTGTATAGCACGACAGATGTCGAGAAGGGAGGTTAAGGGCGTCAACTGTTAATCAACAACGTCACTCGATTCTGGGTTAACTGTAGGTACTGTAGGATAAGAAATCCATATTATTGGATAATACCGGACAATCACGGATAAATCGGATGTTGTCCACCCGGTCAATCGGACAATTTCCAGATACTTTCCGGATAACCGCGGATAACACTCTCAATGATACTAGACATACTCAGAAAACGTTGGATAACACCGGATATATCGGATACTTTCCGGATAACCCCGGATAATACACTAACACACTCGGTAATACTAGACATACTCATAATATGTTGGATAACAGTGGATAAATCGGATACTTTCCGGATAACTCCGGATAACACTGTCAAAATTATTAGACATACTCAAAATACGTTGGATAACATCGGATAAAACGGATACTTTCCGGATAACACTCACAATAATACTAGACATACTCATAATACGTCGGATAACACCGGATAAACACGAATAACATAGCTTCACAGCAAGGAGCACAGCAGCATCCAAAGTATCCGTCTTACCTTCTTCGTGCTGCTTGCTGTGGAACCTGTGGAGCCCGTTGCCGTTGGGGAGGTGCCCGCCGATGTGGACACGTCGGAGTCCCATTCGGAGCTCAGATCATCGCTGCTGGCATAGCCATAGTCCCTTGGCATGGGCACCTCCAGCAGCGACTTGGAGTATTGTATGTAGCCGGGGCACAGACTCTGCCCCAACGGCGAATGACTGCGACGTGGCGTCGACGTCATCATCATGGGATGCGAGTGCTGCTGCGACAGTTTCCGCCCGGCAGATTGACTGGCATGCTCGCCGATATTGGCTGTGATGCTAATGGTGGGCATCGATAGCTTCTTTTCGGCACGCTGCTTAATGCCATGTGCCTGGGCAAAGGCCAGGCTGCATTTGCGTGGCTGCATATTGCCGCCGGAGTGTTTGCGTCTCAAGATCTTTTTGGTGGCGCCACCGCTGCTGCCAGCATTGCTGCCGCCACTTGCCGTCGCACCATGTGCCATTTCGGTCTCACTATCGCCATCATCACTATCGATATTCGGCACTTTGCTGCTGCTGCTGCTGGTGCTGTTGCTGATGTTGCGACCCACATTGCTGTCATCGAGATCATCGTCATCAACATCGGCATCGGCATCGGCATCGTCATCATCGGCATCGCCATCATCGTCAAAGCGCAGTTTCGCAATATCCTCGGGCAGGACGTCGGGGAAATGCAATAGCTTCACTGTCACCTTCTTGCCGGCCTCATTATAGTAGACCTCCTTGGCGCTCATCCTATCAAAGTCCTCGTAGATGCGCACCTGTGGCGATGTCACTGGCGTTGTTACTGGCGTTGTTACTGGCGTTGTCACTGGCGTCGTTATTGTTGTTGTTGTTGTTGGCGGTGACGTCGGTGTTGGGCTCTGGCCGTTAACGGCGGCTGTTGCGGGCGGTCGTGTGATTGCGCACACGGACATTTTACACGACATGTGACGGGCGTCGGAGCGACGTCCGCGACTTGCGCATTAGACGCACTGCTTCTGACCAAAAACAACGACTACACAGAGAATCAAAAGAATCGAAAGAATCAGTGGCTATCGCCAACTATTGTCACTTGTTGTTGTTGTTGACTTGTTGTTGGTTGCTTGTTGTTGTTGCTTGCTTGCTTGCTTGCTGCTTGCTGCATTTGACTTGATTGATTTCTGCGCATTTGCGAACCTGTTCGCGCCTAAGCCACTAAATGCTGAATGTTGAATGCTGATCGCTAGCAGCCAGCCACAATTGACCCACCGAGCAACCCCACCAACGACAAACGGCAAACGAACCAACTAACAAACACCGACTTGATGAATACTCTAACAATTATTAAGGCACACAGGACATCCTCTCTCTTTTAGAGACTTAGACTTAGAGCCGAGGCTGGGCAGAGAGATAGGATGTTTAGATGGATAGATTATTAATCACTTCCAATTAACTTCTGACCCCAACACAATCTGACAAGTGCTGTCAGCTTTTTAGACTATAATGCTACTTTCTGATAAGTATGAACTATATATTTGCTCCGACAATCTGCAAAAGCTAGTTGTGAAGTTGGCAGTTGGCGACTATTTATCAGATCAAACTATTGTGACCTGCCCAGAGGAACTAGGGACTAGATGGTCGTTAAACTATTTTGCCATTGTTGATTCTGTCATTATCTTGACTAGAAGCGCATCGGCAATTCGTTGTTGCATAGCTCAAAAGCAGGCTGGTGCTTTTTTGGGTTGTTGTCGACGTGTTGCTGTCGTTGTTGCTTTTGCAGTTGTTGCATTGGCGCACACATCAATCAAAATTGATTAAATTTAATGCCTACATACGTACACACATATGAGAGTTAGAGAGAGACAGAGGGAGAAGCGAGAGCGAGAGAGAGAGAGAGAGAGAGAGCGAAGCGCACGCATTTAAGTAGGCATTGCAGGAGCGTGCTGGCATCTCAACTGCTTTGCTTAGCTCCATCTGCGGCCCGACGAGAGGCCTCCACTTGCAAAATCGTCGAACCACCAACAAAAAAAAAAACACCCAAAAAACCACCTTAGGTAATTATGTATTGTGTATATCTATTAGCAGCAGCAGCAATCGCTAAGTCAACCCAAATCGGAACTAAACTGGCCCAGGCAGTGTTGGGGGCAAGGCGAAAAAACAACCGCATTATGATAATAATGGCAATGGTAATACCAACAACAACAAGAACAGCTCACAGCACAACCACAGCAGAATACAATATAGGGAATGCCAAGCAAGCTATCCAGTTACACACACACAAACTCAGACACAATAGATATAAATGTTAAATACAGTGAAAAATACAAAAATGATAAACGCAAAATTTGCAAATATCAAATTCAGATTAAAAATAATCGTTAAGATTTAAACAAAAAATTGTTTGCAATTCAACATAAATAAATCATTTGTTATACACAATTTGTTTATGTGGTTCAACATTTTCATTATGTTCAGTGTATAGCATTTAAAATTAATTTATACCCAAATCTTATTTTCAAACACTTTAATTCGAATCTTGAATTTTTTTTATTTTTTTTGCCTTTTTGTTTATTTTGAAATTGAAAATAATTTGCGAAGCATTGATTAAGTTGTGTGTGCGATCCACAGTACAGTGTACAGTGTAGTACACTGTAATTTCTCTCGCTCCGAAACATTTGACGTCATTTGCAAAAGTTATTCGTTGCGATAACGAACCACAACTTGTGGAACCTTGGAACGGCGACGTTGAATGAGGCAACTTTTGTATATAATACACACATACATACATATCAACAGTTGAATGTGTGTGTGTGTGTGTGTGTGTGTGTGCCCGCAGATAGACCACAATATGGTGACTATAAGTAGGCCGATCATCATGAAAGATACAACGCAACAATCAAATACAGCTGTAACTAGAGAGCGAGACAGAGAGATAGATAGAGATAGAGACAGAAGGTGATTGCCAAAGTAAAAGGAAGGAAGTACACAGGGCATGCTTCTGCACATGCTTATAAACATCCATATAAACATTCGCATTCACCAACGTATTTATGAAAACAATCAGTCTAGTACATATAAACAATCAGTAGAGGTATATAAACATTTATACACTTGAAGAAAACAAAATGCCCAAAAAAAAACAAAAGACATCCTTTCCAGTTGTTCATTCCTTAATTCCTAGCTGAATTTTGTAGAAAAAATATTCTGTCTTTTATTCTCAGAGTTCCTCAACTAAACCATTATCTTTTTGCTCTGCTGATTTGTGTAAAGAATGTTATTAATAAATGTTATTTTGGATTTTTAGAAATATTTTGCTTAAGACAAAAATAGAAAAACATTCCAGTTTGCAGGTATATATTGTTTGTGCTTAGTGCGATTGTTTTTCTGAGTGTATACGTGTATGTAAATAGCCAATATACTAGACTATTCGCAAGAAGTGCGCTTAATCGAAACTGAGCAATGTGCAACGTCAAACTGATAAAGGAACACACGAACTGAGCGAATTTGAACTGCCACACTCTGCTAGGGTCTAGAGTATATCAAATAATGCCCCGATTTGTCGCCGCACCCATATACTCTCTATATATATATATAGACTTTGTCTAGATAATCTGAAATGCGTCTTTGTTTTGTTTTCTGTGTATAATAAACATTTCGCGGCCTTGACTCACGCAATCTGAATTTAAGGCTATACACAAGAATTGGCTGGACTTTGTAGCAACCTGGACAAATATATATATATAAATATACATATATATAGAGTAAGCGTAAGACTAGGAGATACCCCAAATCAGGCTCGAAATATATTAAATCCAACATATAAATTGGGCAAGTGTTCTACACTTTTATGAAATCAATGGCATCGGAGATGCTTCCTTCTGTCTGCATGTTGCATACCAGGGCACCTCGGCATCAGCTCCATTTTGAATTGGATCAGAGAGTAAAAATCTACAATTCTCAACTCTCGAAGCTCTAAATCCTTCAGTATTGTCTATATTTTTATTTTTCCCTCTCTCTCTCTCTTCTCAACTTGCATTTCTCTGCTGTCTTTTGTCCTTTCTCTGCTGTCAGCTTCTGTTCTTCTTTCATCTACATAACTAAATAACTTCCTGCTCTTCTCGGAACTCACAGAAGTTCTCTTCCATTATCAATCTCATTAGTTAGTATATGTCTCTCTATCGCTCTGTCTCTCTCTCTCTCTCACACTGTCTCTATTTGTGTCTCACTCCAGTCTTTATTATTTTCAATCTTTATCTTTATATATATATATATTTTTATATATCCAGCTATCTATCTCTTCTATATGATCTGTCTCTATCTTTATCGTAATCTCTTCTCTTTCTCTCCCACTCTTCTTGCCCTGGTCCTTGTCTGCATTCACATTCGCTTGCTCCCTATTCTCTTCTCTTCTCTTCTTTTCTCTTCTCTCTGCATTACATTGTCTGGGGAAAGTGTCGAAAAAGGCAAATTGACTTTTTCGTTATCTAATTAAAAACAAAAACAAATTTTCGTCGACGACAACAGTTCGATATACGCCCAGAAATGTCTATTGATATAGATATAGATATATATATATGTATCTGTATATATATATAGATACAATATAGCTATCTGTATGTACATAGTTGTAGATATAGTTAGATAGAAACACACAAAACTATAGCTTGTATCTAGGTATGTACACAGATATACAAATGTGTCTGGAAAAACGTGTGCAAGTGGATGTATCTGGGTGTGGAGCGGTACGTAACGTCAGAGTTTTAACGATCTAACGATCCCAGCATTCCTCTTGCTGCTGCTGCTGCTGCTGCTACCACCCAGCCACCCCCACCACCCCACCTCAACACACTCCGCTTCCCTTCCAACCCTGATCCAGCTACCCCCGTCTGAGTCCAAGTCCGGACTGCGCTTAATGTGCGGCATTCACGCCGCATAACAATGACAAAAAAAAAAAAAAAGAAAAAAAAGCAACTTTTTTATTTTTTCATTTTGCTCTCTATGTGTGTGCGAGTGTGTGTGTGTGTGTGTGTGTGTGTGTGTGTGTGTGTATTTGTTGTTGTTTCTTAACTGCCGAAAGCTTAAAATTAATAAAGTAAACACTATTTTTTTATTATTTTTTTTTTCTATTTCGATTGCGTCGCTATTGACGCACAAAATGCGGTAGAATGGCCAGCTGGACACAGGGAGGTGGTGAGGGGGATGGAGGGGGAATGACTTGGGAGTGTGTAGAGAGAGGAGAGGAGCGGGTAGAGCAGTGAACGTAGCTCGTTGAACGTCATCGTGTGGGTGGTGGTGGTGGTTCAATGGGTGGTTGGTTGGTTTGGTTTGGTGTTGTTTGACTTGGTTTGGTTCGATGGAGCGATCAGAGCGGATGTGTATTGAACGATTGATGCCAATTATGGTGGCAATCGTGTGTGAAAGGGGGAGCTGCGCTGCGGGAGGGTGTGTGAGTGATTGTGTGATTGTGTGTGTGTGTATGAGTGTTTAAAGTAGATGGACATGGGTCGCCCATTTTTGGGGACGCTGGAGCTAAATGAGCTTCAATTGCCAAATTGATGCAAATGAAATTGTTGAATAAAACATGCGACAACACGCTCAAAAGACGATCGCGTCTATTATTATATAATTCACAATAGCTACACACACACACACACACACATAGACACACACACACATACACAGAAACACATACACACCTTTCTACCCCCCAGCACGCACATGCAAAGTGCGTAGCATTCTCTACATTGACGTCGTTGAAATGTTTACACAAACTTGAATTAATTTCATTGCAGAGCTGAATATCAGCCACCCCCCCTTTGAGTAGCCCCTGCCATCCGCACCCAATCGTTAAGACCTTTTCGCAACCCCCACGCCCTTTTCTTTGGCGCGTGCTTCAATTAACACTTTTTGCACTGGCAGCAGCAGCAAGAGCAGCAACAGCAGCAACAGCTGCAGTAATAAGAAGATGATGCAGCAGCAGCAGAACTTCAGCAAACCAACTGCGCAACTTGCAACAGCGTTCAGTGTTTCCAGCATTTCCAGTGGGAAACAAAATAAAGGTTGTCAGCACGCAAGCTTTCATGTTAAACAAGCAGCAACAAGAAGTGATGTGCACATACATACATACATACATACATACATATGTATATGTATGTACAAGTCAATTGGAAAAAAAATAACACACGCACACTCACAAAAAAAAAGAGGAAAAAAATAACAACAATAAAATAAGAAGACAAAATGAAAACACACAAATACGCGAGCCGAGGCAAAATTAAATTAATTTTTTTGTTTCAGTTTTTTGTTTTTGGAATATTTGTGTTGGTTTTTTTTTTTTTTTTTTTTTTGGAACAACACAAGCCGCAGCAGCAAGCGTCAGAAACAGCTCTGCTTAAGTTATTGTTGTTATTGAATGTAGTTGTTCTTGTTTCGTTTATTGATATTATTTTTATTTTCTTTTGTTATTGTTGTTCTTGTATTTGTTGTTGTTGTTGTTGCTGTAGTTACTGTTTCTGTTTGAGTTGCTGCAGCTGCGACGCGGGCCTGACATTGGCTTAAATCAAAAAAGAAAAAAGGAAACAAAACAAAAACAAAAACAAAACGCGCGGCGACAACAGGAAAATTCGCAACAATAACAGTTATAGTAACGATAACAGTAACGGTAACAGTAACAGTGACAGTAACAGTAGCTGTAGCTGTGGCCAAAATAACAGTGACAGATGCAGAGACACAGAGCCCAGCCGCACGCGATCGCTGCGAAAGCTCAACTGGTTGGGGGAGACAGACACACCGAGCCAGAGCCACTGCGCCAGCCGCAATGTTACGCGACGCGAAGCGACGCAACGCAACGCAACGCAACGCAACGCAACGTCCGCGATGAGCAGCGACGTAACGCAGTCATCGCCATCGTTAGCAGATATATTCAATAACACTGCGGAGTCCTCACTACAAATGGACTTGCGCAGCTGATAACAATAAGTGTAAGCAAGCAGCGAGCGGCGCACGACAAGAGAGAAAGAAATCAAGAGTGAGAGCGAGAGCGAAAATGAGAGCGAGAGTGAGAGTTGCAGTTGTGCTAGTGGGTGAGATGGCTGCGTTGCTGCGAAGGGCACAGACACAAAAGCAGTGTAAATGTGAAGCTTGCCATTGGTTGGCTCCCCGGTCAAAGCTCATTTTTCACTTGCTCAGCGAGCTCAATTATTTATTCATGGGTCAGTGACGTATATCGCTGCAGGGCGAGAGAGAGAGAGAGAGAGTTCGTAAACATCAGAGCGTAAATGAAAGGATAAAAGCAAAACTGAGTTAAAGCTTGAGAGAAATCAGCGAAGAGCGTCGTGGAATGTAATTTGATTCTTGTGATTCCTGGCTAAGTCTGCTTTTTCTTTGCTAAATTGATTTGGCTTAGTATTTCACTCTCAATTTCTTATATATATATATATATATATGTACATATGTATGCTTTTTAGATCTGCAACTTTCTCCATTTATTAAATTTTAAATCATGTGAAATGCACTCAAATTTGCTCTTTTTTCTTCCTTTTTATCTCCCTCTCTTTCTCTCTCGCATTGCTTGCCAGATTTTACATTTTATTCAATGAAATTTCCCCTAGCTTTCATACAACAACAACAACAGCAGCATGTATTTAACGCATGAGCTGCGCTGTAATAGTTGCTGCTACTGCTGCTGTTACTGCTGCTGTTACTGCTGCTGTTACTGCTGCTGCTACTGCTGCTGTTACCGCTGCTGCTACTGCTTCTGTTATTGCTGTTACTGTTGTTGCCGCTCTCAATGCGCTCTCATTATCTCTCATGCGCGCGCAGGTAAGGCCAAGCGCGTCAGCGTCGAGGCGTACGTCTCATCATCATAAAGTCTGTGACGTCAATGGCATCGGCATCGGCGTCGGCGTCGGCGACAACGATGCCAGCTTTCGGACCGGTCCAACAGTTCAATAATTCAATAATAATTCAATGCGACAACAACGACGCTGAAGCTGAGACCGAAGCCGTTTTGACCAAAGCTATCAAATGCTGCTGCTGCTGCTGCTTCGGCTGTGAAGCTAGCGCGCGTGCCAAAAAAAAAAACTAAAAGACTTTAATTGCAAAGCTTTCAATCGATCGTTTCAGTCAAGTTGCAAACCAGTCGAGAGCTTTCGCTCGCTCTGCCGATTAAAGCTAATTGAGTGCGAATGGAAGCAGCTTGCAAACGGCAGCGTTAACTAAAACCTGCGCCCCACCTGCGCTCCAGCTGCGCTTCACCTACCTTCTTCTTGGCCGCCTCGGCAGCGCTGATCACGTACAGATCGACAATGCCCAGGAGACAGTCGTCGCAGCGGCAGACATCCTCGCCAAATGCCAGTGAGCCCAGGCTGCTCGTCGAGTCCAGCGAATCGGTGCGACGCAGTCGGCTCACAATCGATGCAGCCCCGCTGCCGGCAGCAGCAGCAGCAGCGGTCGTTGACGCTGGCAGCGGTATGGAACTGGAACCGGCAATGGAACCGGAACCGGAAGCAGCATTAGCTGAACCAGCGCCACTGCCGGCTGCGGCCGCTGCTTCGATTTTGCGCGCCAGCAGCTGCTCCATTAGCGTGCGCGGACGCGAGGAGGAGGGAAACAACGCCATTTTGCTTTCCCAAAAACGCTTTAAATGCGCAACGTTGGAAAACAATAAATGCGGCAACACACGTGTGGCGCCAGGGCCCCTTTTTCTTTGCCTGCCGCAAGTTTTTTGCTTAAGTCTTTTGTTTTGCTCAGTGTTCGCTCTTCGCTTTAACTACGCTCAAAGTGCAACATACCTGCAATTAGACAACGAAAAATATACAGGGTATTAAAATTCAAGTTGAAGCAAAAAATAGTTACATTTATATTTAAATATCTCACATTGCATGATACAAGTTTGAAACCATTTATGACTGTACAAGGCTTGACCTTAGGGTATTCGTAGTCGAGCACGCTTTTTACCCCTACATATGCGCATATGTATAAAAGTAAATTGCTTTGCTTTCGTCGAATCAATTGTATTCTATTCAAGGCAATTTGAATACTATTTATTTCTCCTGATAAATAGTTAAGCATGTTTCGAAGATCGATTCAAGATTTCGTATACCAAATAATTTTTTAAAGAAAAAAAAACCAACTTAATAGAAAGTAATAAACTATTTATGTAGGCGATTTATTTCTACTTCACTTTGCAGGGTATTCAAATCTACAATCAACACTTTTCTCTGCCATTTCTAAATAGGAGTCCCTGTTTCTTTATACCCTGAACATAATCAAAAGGAAGGAAGCATCTACGCTTCCATTAAGTATATATATTCTTGATATCTATGGTTCTATGAAGCTTTTAACATATAGTGGGTATCTCATAGTCGAGCTGCCTCGACTTGAGCATTCAACTTGTGTGTTTCTTTGCATTTTTAGCTGCATCAAACAATTTCTCGTCTGTCGCATCTTATCGCAGGTGAAGTTTCAGTTTCAGTTTCAGTTTCTGTTTGAGTTCGATTTCCATATGGATATGGATATGGATATATGGATATGTGTGCAATCGCAGCTGATCAAAATTTCTTGTTAATTAACATGAAAGTGCAATGGGAAGTCTAAAGTCGAAAGTCTGGAGTTGCAAAGTTGCAAAGTTGCCAAGTTGCCAAGTTGCCCAGTTGCCTAGTTGCCAGTTGGTTAGTTGCACGTATCCAGTTGCAATTGCAATTGGCTGCGTAAACTCGTCCAAAATGTTGATGCCCCCAAACTGGCTGCTTGGACTCCTGGCCAGGCTTTTTTCTTACTGGCCTTTATGTTGCACGCAGTTGGCAACGACGCTTTCAGTCGTCGTCGTCATATTGCCGCACTTATGCGCACATAAAAGTCAAATAATAGATCCAAAAAAAGACACTTTGCCACAGCACAGCACAGCACAGCTCGTTGCATGCAGCCAGCCAGCCAGCCAGCCAGCCAGCCAGACAGACAGACAGAAAGGCAGTTGTTGTTGTTGTTGTTGTCGATTTTGTCAATCGAATGATTTATAAGCATAAGTTGCTGTTATACCCTGACCACAGCCTGAGATGAGCAATACAATTTGAGCGCATCAAAATTCATATCACAATTGCTACCATTTATATATATATATATATATATATATATATATTTATATATCAGCTCAACTCCAAGATTGGCTGCTATTGTACAGATTTGAACATTGGATTCGATCGTATTTCAGTCAAATTCTTGGTAATTGTTTGATTATCGCTTCAAATCAATAAATCCTTCGTTGCTCTAGCTAACTTTGTTGATCATAAATCATTTATTAAGTCTGTGGCTCATAAATTTGTTTAGTTTTATCAGATCTCATCTCGTTTGTTCGAGAACTTACAAATAATGATAGTTTTCTGTTGATCAATGGGCGATCATTACAGAAATGTATAAAAATATACATATATAATAGATTAACAGATCGTTCAGTTCGTTAGCTCTTCAGCTTATATATATCATTTAATCGAACAGATCTACCCATTATCATTACGACTATTGTCATCATCAATCTTGAAAGCATTTCGATCACAGATCAAGCTGATCAGTTTCTACTTTACTGGTCAATTTATGGCTTTTATTTTTTTGCCGATCAATATCTAAACATAAAAAAATTGTTCAATAGACGATCACATTTCGTTGATCGTTAAGTTATCGATGCTGTTCGTGTTCAATAATAAATCAATCTAGTTTTTTTAATTTTTTTTTCCGATGTTTTTTCGATTCTCAAGCGATCTTTAAAGAGAATATTTTTGCTGTACCCTCAATGGGGTATGATGAAGGTGTGCAAAAGTATGCAACAGGCGGAATGGAGCAACGCCAGTACTTATATATATATTCTCGATCCGATCTTGTACAAACAGATATCAGAGACAGACATTTTGGGAATTGAAGTTTTATTTGATCGATCAGTTTTCACGTTTTGGGATTTTAAGTTATTATTCAAATTGATTTAAAATGAATCTTGACAACTTTTTTTTAGCCTTGAAAGATTTAAAGATAAAGAAAAATCGTGTTTTCAACGATTTAAATATATTTATCAGCTGGTTTGAGCGTATCAGCTTGTCGAGCTCTCCCGACTGGAGCATTCTGTTTTTCATTTAGTTATTTTTTTTTGGATGTAAGAGCAACTGAGCGTCGACTTTGCTCGCTGTTGTTGTTGTTGTTGTGATATTTGTGTTTGTTATTGTTGTTGCTATTGTTGCTGTTGCTGTTGCTGCTGCTGCTGTTGTTGTTGTTGTTGTTGCATAAGCCAACTGTCTTGTACTTTTATGGTCGGGCGTCTTATCAATAATTTATGTCAGATTATACCGTTATGTCACAATAAATTAAAGTTGGCAACTTATTTTCCCGGCCAAGCGGCCGGCTGCTGCTGCTGCTGCTGCTGCTGCTGCTGCATGGATTTTTCGTTTTTTATTATGGCCAAATCTGTCAGTTTAGTGGCGCATTTGGAAAATGGTGAAAAATTGAAACGGCCAACCGGCTAACCAGTAAAGTGGCAAGACACTGCCCCACCTCGACAACACAACTTGCAACTCCCACAAAAGTAAGCTTGGCGTGCGGCGGCAAATTTCACTGTCACGCCTCGTTTTCAATTAACTTGTTGGCGACCGCTGGCCAGGCCGATAAATCAAATAAGCCGCCGATCAGCACGCAGCACTTGGTAGCTTTTGTGGCAACTTTGGAGGCTGGAGGCTGTAGGCTGTAGGCTGGCAACTGGAGGCTTGAGGCTTCAGGCTGGCCACTGGTGGCTTGGCGGCTTGGCGGCTTGGTGGCTGGAAGTCTGCTCTTTAGCCAGTTAGCTATTTTTGATTTATGAAGATCGCTTCATTTGGCTGCTGCCGCCGCTTCTGCTGCACGCATCGATGTCAAAGTTTATCGCTGGCCCGCAATGATTAATGTGGCAAACAGCAATGTTGCAGGCAGCTAGGCTCAGCCCACTGTCTGCCTGCTGCACTACACTTCGACAAACCAAAAAAAAAAAAAAACAATAAAACAAATCCCAAATCGCTCGAAAAACTTGTTTCTGGACATCAAGAAATAATGCCGAATATCATTCGAAAATATTCCATCTAATTTAAGAGTTCTAAGTACACATCAATAAAATAAGAACCTTTAATTTTTTACTTCTTTTTTTGATTTCAAATAGCATCTAAGTCATCAAATATATTGGATTTCTAAAAAATGACGCAAAATTCGGTTTTAGAAATTGTGTAAGTTGAGCTGCCCGATTTGCTTCAGTTGAGTGCAAGTTGAAGGCAATCATTTTTCTGAGTGTAGCATGTAGTCCACAAAATCTGCTACCAGCTGCCTGCATCCAGGTTTGCTTGGTGGCTTAGTGGCCATAAAAGCGCAACTGCAACTGCAACTGCAGCCGGGCTGCTGTTTATGGTAGTTGCCGGTGGCCAAGTTGCCAGCTGCTAAGTTGCCAAGTTGCCCAAGTTGCCCAAGTTGCCCGTCCACGTTCGCAGGGGTCAATCCGTTTGCGTGGCATACAGATACGAAAAGTATCTTTAAGCGCTGACCAAACCAGTATCTTTCACTTAGAAATGTTTCGTTTTCCTTTTTGCAACAGCACTAAGCTCTAAGCTCCTCAACTATCTTTAACTAGCCGCAATTTCAGAATTTATCGCCGAGTCTTAAGCTTGACTCTTGACTCTCCAAGCTCGTAACGTTGTAACTCAAACAGACTTATAATTTTGTGAGTTTCTTTTTTTTTTTTTGGCAAATTCCCAAGACATATTTTAATGCCCGGGAAAGTTACTACCAGTGCCACAGCTAGTAAAGTATCTACAAACTGCTCAATTGGTATTTTAAAATATTTAGTTTAGAAAGCATTTCTAGAACTCATTAAATTCATTGTTAATTAAAATAATAGTAGTAATAATAACAATAATAATAACGCTACAAGTATTGTTCTCAGCAACAAAAAGATCTTTCTTAAACATATATCTAAACAATATTGTTTTGAATTGACAAAAATATGAATAACATTAAATTAATCTTAAGCAGTGTATTTTGGATAAAATGAACATAGAATATCTAAAAGTTGAAGAAGATAATTATATGTTGCAACTACGAAATGGGAATGATAAATGTAGAAAAGAAAAGTTAATTTTGAATATAAGCGATAATAAATCATTAAAATAATGTTTTGAAAGCCAAGTTAACATTGAAAAGAATCATTATCTGTTTCGATATCTTTGCTACTTTTGCCATTACTTTTATTTCAAATCATTTTTTTGGCTTATTTTATTTTTATTTTTAAAACGGCTAAAATTGTTTAAATAATAACATTTTCAAGAAGAAGAAAAAAACGGTATGCAATATGAATTTATATGTGATATTTATATTTCCATAGCTGTACAGATATATGGATATAGATATCATGCAAAAGGAACTTATGAAAAATCAGTTAGAAGAGTATCTGCTGGATCGAAAAGTATTTCGCGGATAACTGTAATTGATATATGTTTTGGAAAGCTTTTCAACTGTTATATTTAATTGCAAAGTGTTTGTGCTATCATTCAGTCAGTCATTAGAACATTTAAATGTATCTGTAGCTCAAACTCAAATAAAAGTATCTGAAAAGTATCTATCAAATGTAAATCCACAACAATTTATCAATTCTGTTGTAAAGTATATGTGGCCCTTACAAAAGTCTCTGGCAGATAACAAGATTGCTAACAATAATAATTCACAGATTAAATAAATAACCCGAAGCAAAAAAAAAAAAAAACACAAAGTATCTACAGTCGTAAGAAATGTATCT